GATAGGCGGGAAGGCGTAGAGTAGAGCTGTGAATAAGAAAAAGAGTATTGATAGGCGTTTGAGATCACGTCGTGAAGGCGGAGAGGGGAATGATGGAGAGGCGTGATCGTAGGTCGGCAAACGCGGGTGCCGGAAGAGGTTTGGTGAAGAAGTCTGCAAGTTCGTTGCCAGAGCTGCACCACTTGAGCTGGAATTCGCCGGAGTCCACAAGGTCACGCACAAACATTTAGCGGTCGATGTGCTTTGAACGGCCGTGAAGTTCGGCGTTGGTAGCGATATTGATGGTGAACTGATTGTCTTCATGGACTAGGACGGGTTGGTCGGACGTTTGTTGGAGTTCAGAGGCGAGTTGACGTAAATAGAGAAATTCTTGAATGCATAAGGCGAGGGCAACGAACTCAGCTTCCGTGGTGGACAGGGTGACGAGTGGTTGCTTCTTGGCAAGCCACGACACAGGTGAGCCGAAAAAAAGGGTAAAATATCCACTGATACAACGTCTGGTATCAACACACATAGAATTGTTCGTATCGACGTAGGCGGATAGAAAAGGGAAGTCGTCGATAGAGGCGATGCCACCAAGGCGGATGCCATAGGAGCGGGTGCCTTTGAGATAACGAAGGGCAGGTTGGACGGTAGACCAATGAGTAGGGCCAGGGTTGTGGAGAAACTGACTAAGTTGTTGGAGAGTGTAGGCGAGATCGGGACGTGTGCCCATAGCTAAGTACATGAAACTGCCGACGACAGAGCGATAGTTCTTGCCGATCATAAAGGTGAAGTCGTGAGGCGTCGTCACGCAATGGGAGGCGGATAGAGTGAGGCTGGGGTTGAAAGGCGTAGAAATTGGGTTGCAGTTCACCATGTAAAAACGGTCCAGGATAGCCTCGGCGTAGCGAGATTGGTGAAGGAAAATGGTCTTGGCTGCTCGGTTGCGTTCGACTTGCCATCCCAAAATGTCGGAGACTTCGCCAAGGTCTTTCATGGCAAACCGTTGAGAGAGGGAAGCCTTTAAGGCGAGGACGAGGGAAAGAGTAGGCGCAAGAATAAGTAGATCGTCCACGTAGAGACTGACAATGGTGAAACTGGAGGCGTCGGACTTGATGAAGACGCAGCGGTCCTTGTGTAGTCGGGTGTACTTTTGGGATGTCATATAGTCGACGAATGTCCAGTACCATAGGTTAAGCGCTTGTTTGAGGCCGTAGAGGCTGCGTTTTAGGCGGCAAACTAATTCGCGGTGGGAGACGTCGGTCACGAGGTCGCCAGGCGGCTGTTCCATGTAGACGACGCGGTCCATGGTCCCGTGGAGAAAGGCGGTCTTGACGTCCATTTGATGACACTCAAGGTCGTAGATAGCCACCATAATGAAAAGAAAACGGAGGACTGCGAGGCGTACGACAGGCGCAAAGATGTCGTCGTAGTCAACGCCCTCGCGTTGCAGAAAACCTTTGATAACTAGGCGTGCTTTGTACGTGCCGTTGGGCTTGATGCGGAAAACCCATCGGCAGGGCAGGACTGTCATGGTTTTTAGGCGTGGAACAAGATCGTAGGTCATGTTATCTTGAAGGGACTGGAATTCGTCGTGGGCGGCAGCTCGCCATTTGTCGCGATCGGAACGGCGCATGGCTTCCTACCAGTTTTTAGGATCCGAGGAATCGGAGGGTAGGCGGGCGCTGAGTAAGGCGTAAAGGTGCCATGGCGGATAAAGGGGTGGTTCGAGGGGTTGTGTAGGCGCCGAGAGAGGCGGGAAAGGGGTAGGGGTAAGGCGGTGGTGGAAGAGTAGAAAGATCATCGATCGAGATGTCAACAAAGGGTAAATGAGAGGTGGAGAGGCAAAACGGAGTGCCTGGTAGTGTAGGGTTGGAGTGGTGCGGCTGTGATGTTGGGCAAGGCGGATGGAAAAACGAACTGCGATATGGTAGAGCAAGTTGGAGTTCGTCAAAGGTGCCAGACAAAGAGTAAACCTGGGGCGGAGACAATGGATCGGTGGTAGACAGTGGAGATGTTGAAGGAAGTGAAGGAAATATGGTTGGATCGAGGCGAGAAGAGAGAGGTGGTAGAGGGTCATGAGGTGTAATGGATGGAATGCCGGATGCATCACGGGCGCGAAGGCTAAATGCTGCTCCAGCTTGGATGGTATTGATGGCGGGTGCCGGGAGAAAACGCGATGATAAGTAAGTTTTTATCGTTAGATAGGCGTGTGTTTGAGGTGGTAGCAGTAGCTAGTGCGAGAGAAGGCGTCGTAGATGTTGAAGTTGTAGGGGGAGGCGGAGATAGAAGAGGTTTGTTGGTAGATGGAGAGATGAGAGTTGACTGGATTGGGTTGACAACGTTGGAAGTGAGGGACAAGGCGTGTACTGAAGGAAATTTCGAACTGCCGGATAAACAGTAAGAGACGAGGCGTTGGGGTTGGGGGAGAGAGTGTGGTGGTAGGCGGTAATGAGAAATGTACAGCCTTGCTTGATGGAGACTTGAAATAGTGTGTTTAGGCGAACGTCCAAAGAAAATAATATAGATGTGCAATTGATCGATTACTTCGGAGCGCGCCGCGGCTTGTACGGTAGACTCAAGCGTAGAAATGGAGGACGGGGTAGGCGTGGCGAAGTTGATATGGAATGGATCCGCATCACTAAGGGAAGGATGAGCAGCTAGGTTAGCCTCAAATTCCATGATGGCAGCTGCAACGGCAGCAGGAGGGTGAGGCGGAGGGTTGCTGGCTAGGCGTGTGTAGGGCTTCGCCGGAAAAGAATAGAGTCCCAAGGCGTTAACTTGAGCACGCAAATAAAGGCCACGACCAATGTCCATGAGGCAGTGCGATGGATGCGAGAAATCGAAGTGGCAGCATGCTTGAACAGGGTGACGGACGGAAAGAAGGTTGAATTGTAAGGCGGGGCAATGTAGGGCAAAGGGTAGAGAGAGGGGCACTTGATGAGCAGTGAGATTGGCCGAGGTTTCGCCAGAGTGGGTGGTAACACCGAGATCGATCGGCCCGTAGCCGAGAACAGGAATTTTGCCACCGTCGCCCACAGCAAGTCGACAAAGGCGGAGTCGATAAAATAGCGACGGTGAGGCGTGCAGGAGGCGGTGGCACCAGAGTCGATGATCCATTCGCTGGAGAGCTGGGGATAGAGTGAAGGTTCCAAGGGGAATGGATTGGTGTGGTTGGGGAAATACCTTCAG